AGCTGGTGAGGAGTCTGGAGCACAAGTCTTATTAGGAGTGGCTGAGGGAGCTGGGCTTGTTGACTTTGGAGAAAGGAGGGCTCAGGAGTGACCTTATTGCTCTCTACCACTGCCTGAAATGAGGTTGTAGCGAGATGGGGGTCGGTCTCTTTTGCCAAGTAACCAGTGCTAGGACAAGAGGGAATGGCCTCAAGTTGTACCAGGGAAGGTTTAGATTGGATACTGAAAGGGTTGTCAAGCACTGGAGCAGGCTGCTCAGGAAAGTGGCTGAGTCACCATCCTTGGAAGTTATTTAAAAGTCAGATGTGGCACGTGGGGACATGGTTTAGTGGCAAACTTGGCAGTGCTGGGTTAAAGATTGGACTTGATGACCTTAAGGGTCTTTTCCTATCAAAAAAATTCTATTATACTGTATTTCTGACTGTTTATTTTTCCTTCTACACTAGTCCCAAAGACAAATTAGACCAATCAGAAGAGCAGGCACAACTAAAGGAGCTAATATTTCTGAAGTACAATTTGTGTGTCTCTGCTCTCCTATTGCTAAATGGCATAGGAATAACCTTTACACATGCTGGTGTTCCCCATATAACAAAGTGATTTCCATGCACTGCTGTGAGAGACTGCAAATTTTGTTTTTGCAAACTTTGTTGCTGCAGCAGCAAAAACTGGTAGGTGCTGAGAATCCACCCAACTCACACATTTAGAAGCTCAGCACAGACCAACCATCTATGTCATTGATACCTATATTGGTTATGATCTCTGCCCCTCTCATGTGGGGCTAATCATGTATTCAGCCCACAAACATTAGCAGGAATAGACGTGTGAGTTAAGCAGACCTATCAGCCTACTATAACATGTAAAACTCTGGCATGTCCTGTTAGTTTCTCAAAGAAGTGGTCTTGATGGAAAACTTATCATTTAAAAAGCTGGAAAAAAGTTTTCACAAGTATATATGATTATAAATCTCAAATGTTTAACATACATTGAACCTGAAACACCTAAGTGATGAGTTTGTGATGCTATTTTATCCACCAAGACCAGATTTTAAGATTATGTGTCTGCACAGCTGAGAATTGCTGAGGTTGCAAAAGCCAGATGTAGCAGGAAACTTCATTCTTCATTCTCTTAGAGGTGTTAAAGATATCTTTATGCCCCATGGGAGAAATGTGCAACTAAGAAGGCACATCTTCATGTCAAAAAGTGGGTTCCAGATTTTTCTTTGACAAGGTTGTACAGATTTAGGTCACTAATTGGGTTGATAAAGAGATGTTGTATACAATGTGCAAAGCAATGTTTAGCTCACCTTAAAGGCTTGATCTTGCTTCTGCTTAACTCAGCCTCACATTCATGTGCCATCAGCCAATTTCTGTTAGATACAATCATGAATAGGCAGCAAACTTTTTAAATAACTAAGTATTTCTAAAGACCTAAATAGTTCTGATCAGTGTACTGAGTATGTCAGCACTATGTAACTGAGATCATGAGCTTTGCAGAAACTTGGGATTGAGGGGAGGGAAAGGTGTCCCTTATGAAAATGTCTGTTCATTCCTTTTTGAAATACTCACAATGCTCATATACCTAAGGAAGGTTACTGTTCTAGCAGCCTGAACAAATAAACAATTGAAGAGCCTGGGATCCAGAATTTCATCAGCAGTTTCCACTGGTTGCTTTGCAGTTTAATGATCCTACTAGTGAAATGGTGAAAGTCAACAAGCTGTCAAGAAACTCTACAAGTCACAGTAGAGTCACTCTGGAAAATGGACAAGTTTTGAGCTTTTCTGCTTTATCTTTTTTGGAACTAATGCCCTCCCAGCAATTTTGAAAAGGCAAAATACCCCATTAGAAAAATTTTGGCTTTTTTCTCATTGTTCAGTGAGTGACACTGTGCCCTATGTACAGTGCATTGTTCAAACTCTCAACCTAAATACTAAATAAATAACTGATTTTGGGGCATTTTTCTGTCATCTAGTGTTGTAGCTTCAGAACAACCTGCAAAATTCTTCTTTACAGCCTTCCTCTAATATGAAGATTATTTAACCCCATTATACAAACAGAAAAGTGAGGAATGGAGACCCCAAGTTGCCTAGGACCTGATTTCTAAGCACATTGGGCATTACATAAAATGTTTCTGATTCAAAGTTACATTTCTGTTGACCATATCTGGATTTGTGAGTGCTCAATACTTCTGCAAGTCAGATCCAGGTGTCTTTTAATAAACACTTGAAAATTAGAGCTGGTGCCTGTTTCTGAAAACTTACACCCCTTGAAGTCAGACCTGAAACAGAATTTCAAACTCTGTAAGATGAGCATCACATGAGTGGAAGGATTAAGCCACCAATGAAGGCTTAAGTGTCTCAAAATGGGATCTGAAATAGCCAGAAAAATTATAAGAAACAGTGTAAAGTCAGCACTATTCACTTGCTGCACAAGTAGATCATCCAGAGCAGGTGATGGATGAGCCTTGAAAATGTGAAAACTCAAGGGAAAAAAAAATCTTAGTGAGTCTCATAGAACATCCTCTCTCTCACAGAAAAACTACTGGAAGACCTGAGCCTTGAATCTCTTTGTTCAACTTCCTTTTATTAAAATTCTGTGTTACCTTTTCTTTCTGGGGACTAAATATGATTTGCCATAATGTTTTAAGGTGGTTGGTACAAGACAAACACTTCCCTTCCCTCTCTGAATGATAAAGAAGCGGTTAATGTCAGGAAATAGATGCCCTAAGGTGCCTCCCAAGTCTGACCATGGGACTTATTTTCTGAGAGGGAGATTAACCACAAGGCTTCTGGGTACTGCCCATATTTCACATCAAAGATGCACAATAAGAAATTATCAATACAACAATTCAGGGAAAGATGAAAATGGCATGCATGAGGGCAAGAGATTCTCTAGCCTAGTGACAGTCACCAAGTATAAGGTAGTGGACATGGTCTGGAATCTACTCTTTAGATTGGCCTTTGGAGTTATCCAGCGACTACTGTGAAATACTGTCTTTGAAGACAAGGCTGGACATGAGGTCTTTGTCTTTCTGGCTGAATGGTATTTCAGGCATCTGCTCCTCTTTTGTCCCCTTCTTCTTGCTCTTCCAGCTTCTACTGGCCAGGTGCAGTTCAGCTCAGACCATACCTGCTAGCATACTACCTAGCTAGCAAGGAAGGAGATGGATAAGCCTTTAAATACTTTTCAAAGACAGTGCTGAATATGCATGTTCTTTCTCCTGGGAGAATGCTCTAGAGGAGGAGTTACACTGTTCCCTACTCCTTGACCTCTTGAAAAGAAAGCACTTGTATTTCTAAAGAAGAAATATAGTCTTACTGATGTGATTTAAGCGTGCTCCTCACTGGCACCAGGACAGCTCTCTCAGTCCTGTCAAAATCCAACTGTTCTACTATGGCAATTGGATATCTGCTCCATACTTTTCCTTGAGTATCTTAAGTACTGCTATGTCATATTATAAGAAGCAACTATTATGGTATAATTCCCCAGCAGTCAGAGGCTGCATTAGAATTTTGTCCTGTTTGTAGTTGAAGCTCTGAAGTTCCATCCCAGTTCCATTTCAGGTATTTATCATGTATTTTTCTATTATGAAGGTGACCTTTTCTCAGCATCACACACATTTTTCTCAGCATCTACTTTCAGGTAGAATCAGTGGCAGAATCTTATTTCCCAGAACATCACTCAGTTACTGCAATCACAAAGCTACTTTGCCTTTTCCTGTAGCCCTACATCTGAGTCAGAATGTGTCCTCCAGCAGCAAGTAGATGAGAGCTGAACAAGGAGACAGGCATGGTCTCCCTCTAAATGGGCTGTTCATTGATTTTTTTTGTGCTGAATTATTATTCTGTAATATTTACACTTAGGACTCTGAGGAATATACCACATGAAGAAGGGAGATTTTACTACATGAAAAGCGTGTCAATATTAGTAAATTAAACACTGTCAGAAAAAGGGCCCAGGCCATGGAACTCAATTGCTTGGGCTGTTACAGTTCTGGCACAGTTTTGTCTCACACCAACTAATGCTCCCTCAAACAGGTCTGGACCACACACAACTTCTTGTATAGTTTAGGACTTATGACAGACAAAAGACCATTCCCAAAAAGGATTCTGGATGCAGCCATCATGTTTCAGAGGCTGAAAACAGTTATTACAGTTGTGTCAAATAAGGTAAAGATCAGGATATGACTGGTTCCAGTAAATGGATGTAGTGCAAAATTACTGCTGGTTAAAAGCATTTTCTGTCTAGACCATTAGAGAGTATGGACATACCTGCTCTGTCTTTAGATTTATTTTTTAGATTACTGAGAGCTGGATATTTCAGGGTTTTCTCCCAAATATTTAAGGAAAAGAGCTGAAAGGATCACACCTTGCTGTCCTCTGCAAACCTGCTTTCATCATCAGTAGCATTTAACCCAAAGTCTGTCTTCTTTCTGTTAACTGCTGTCCAGAAACCACCCTGTGTCTTCATATACCTCAAGTTTGTACTACCAGTTTTCCACTTGTCTTTTTTTTTTGTCTTTTCTTCACCATTTCTGTGCTTACATATCCAGAGTTTCCTATCCTACCTCTCACCACTGCTGGTGTTCCAGGAGGATATCCCTTTGACCCCCGCACTGCTTGACTGTCACAAGGTGAAGTGACAAAAATACAAAAAAGGCTTATTCTCACAGCTTTCAGCTACTGAACCATTGTAGCCCTGAACTGAGGTCCACTTGGTGTATTCAGGACCCTGGGCGAACAGGACTTCAATAGGGCACAATTTAGGAAGTGTCAAACACCAATTATATTTTTGAGAAGTTGGGGAGGGAGGGGGAGGCAGGAAAAGAAAAAGTCTTAACAAGATTATTCCTTTGTGCTCACTCACCTACTCAAAGCAGAAGCTTGTGTTCCTGAATATTCCCTTATTGCCTCAGCAATTGCCTTAAACAGCTAAACTCTGCGTGTAACATCCTGCCAAAGAAAATGCAAAACTTTTTCATCTTAAATGTTGATCGGACTTACAGGCAGCTCCCTAAGGAATTTGTCTCACCATGTCATTGCTGATGTTTCCGTACTGCAGCAGATCAGATTTCCTCTATGAGTAAGAGCTACAGAAAGGAATAGAAAACAGTTCTGTTAAAAAGTTTTTTAAGAATCAGTCGTTAAAATAAATAAATAAATAAATAAATAAATAGAAGGAACACATTTAAAGATAATTACGAACACTGACAAGCACTGATAACATTGTCTGTCATAGCTTTAAATATGTGGTTCACTAGCTGTAAAACAGCTCGAACGGGACTACTCAAGATTCAAAGAATACACATCTGAAGATGAAGATAAAAGCACATACTTTTTGTTGGCTTGATATTTTCCCTTCTTATTTTTGCAGATGTGAATCAGGTGCAGTGTATCTGGTAGTAAGTAACCCTAGCTACTTCTTCATGATCATACCAGTGAGTAATTTCTGTTCTTATTTCAAGACTTAATGAGCAGTTTGGAGAGCAAGGATTTTCAATTCAACACCTTCTAAGCCTGAATTCATCATGTGGGAGTGTGAAAATGTGACAAAAATGTGTGGCTCTTGACCAAGTTCATAGATCCCTTGCCCCTGTCTGAACAACACTTGGACCCTCATTGCTCTCTGTGCAAAAAGGCAGAATCTCTCTGTTGGGATATCAATGAGACCTAAACCCCAGCACTTAAAAAACTGAACTGTTGCTTGAAGCATACATAGCTCACTCTCTCTCTGTGAAACACTGAAAAATAAGACTTTTGATGGAAAATTTCCATAAGGACACAAGGCTTCCAGTCAAAATACATGAAAAGAGACTGGATCAAACTGACATTACCAGATTCAAAGATGTAGAAAATGAATCCTGTGGAATGTTTCTGATTGATTAGCACCTAAATTTAGACAAAAATTGGATTATATTGCCCACTTTAAATCTATTTTAAAATAACAACTGTAACTCTAAGGCTGAGTCCCTCTCAGGTTTCCTGCGTGTAAATAGCAAGCCCAGGAGAAACACCAACTTGACCTTCCCATTTGACAGCTGGCAGTAAGAATAATCAAGCCCAAACAACAATCCCGAAGACATTTACTTATGAAATGAGCTCATTTCATTCAGGAATTTTGAAGGCAGTAGTCAAGGGCCTAACCCCCCCACTTCCATAGTCATTTTTCATAGGAAAGCTACATGTTCAAGCTCCTTTTGCACACTATGAAGAACATGAAAACAGTGTTAATAAATATGCCTGGTAAGAAAACCATCCTTCTGTACAATTGAAGTCTTTGCAAACATTAGTTGTCAGCAGTGAAGCCCCTGATCTTCTGCTTCAAAACACCTATTTATCTGGAAACTATGCAAATGTGAAGTAATTTTATTAGGCAGCAATACATGTGCAAAACATCAGCACATCTTTTAAATGCACTGTGACATAGTCTTGATGTGTCTTTATTTTTGAGCAGGACAGAGGAGGCTACCATAAGATAACTTCTTGAGGCTGGGTTGTGTCTTCTGGGTTTCTCCCCTCTAGCCACTTGCCCAGAATACAGCAGTTACTGTGGGAGACCAAACTTACCATACAACTTTCTAGTATTGGGTTATTTTCAATCCTGTTACACACAACTGGTACATATAACATATGCCTCCCTCTGACAGAGAGACGAGGAGTTGCACCCTCTTCCCACATCAAAGATACTGATGCTGAAACAGAGCACTGAGAGTAAACATTTTAAATCACCTAAGTTGGCGTTTTCTGTGCTTACAGTCATCAGTGAGAGCAAATTTATCCACATAGACAGATGCATCAGAGTTGAACCCAAACCCACACTGAAAGACAGTAGGTGAATACACATTTTCAATAAATGTACCTGAAGGAATGTTAAAAACTGAAGGTAGAAGCAGTGGGCAAGCTGCTAGTTGGTGACAGGGGGATGCCTGGGTTCAGTTTACTCTTTGCATACAGAGCTGTTGAGCCATGCCTATGCACTAACTGAGAAATGTGACTGCAAGATGGGTAGGCACACCTCAGCCAGCTTTCCTCTAGCAAGCTGCAGCATAGGCTGCAAGTATTTAGCAGCTAAGGCCATACAGACCTGTAAGGAACAGCTAGGTGCTTGGCATCAATGTTCAAACTGAGATGACTAAGGCTGATGCAAATACTTCTACCCATGTCATAGCCTCTTCCCTAGCAGAACGGTGGCATGCTTTCTAGTTATGTCTAAACTGAAATACAGCTGTTTGCAAGGGAAGACCTGGGTTTCTTGATCAGATTGCCTGCACTGGGGAGCTGTGAATACCAGGGTACAAATATGGTGTCAACTGGGATTCATCTGAGTTCCCCACCTGTAAAAGCAGTGACAAAGCTTCCAGTGGCTCCTTGAGTCTGTTAAGGGTGAAATTCATTGGAGAGGTCCAAGTGCTACCGCAGCAGCAACCTCACAAGTACAGTGGAAGTGATTTAGAAATGATGGATGGAAATTATGTGTCTGAATCAAACAAATGCTTTAAAAAATCCTAACTAGATTCTCCCAATCACTATGTATAAAATCCAGAAAATGTTTATACCAGACATTCAAGGAGCCAATATCCAAACACTAAAACTGATTATAAGCAAAGACTTAAAAAAACCCAAAAATGCCGAAGATCTGAGTATCCAGTGTATGACTTCAACCAGGGACCAGCACAGCACACACAATTTCACTTTCTGTATGGTGACCTAGTGACAAAACATTGTTACAATAACTGCCCCACAGATGACTATTTTATACTTGTTTCTGATCTATTAGAAAACAAAACTTCACACAAATAGTCTCTTTCCCTATCTATTAAGAGACAACAAATGCAGTATGCAAGAGTGCAGTGTTATGAGACTTCCTGCTGGTGCCTGTCTGTCTGAGTTCAGTTGTTATGCATCCAAATATCCCAAGAAAATTATATCACTTTATGATATGGTTCCACAGTCACTTCTGAGTGTATGTTTGGTTACTGCAAACCTCAGGAACAGTCTCAGGATGAATACAGTACATGACTCTACAATAGCTAAAGATAAATATCGGGTTCAGATTTACAAATAAAACTGGTCCAAAATTATCTGGCGCTTTTTTTTCTATTTTTTTTCTGCCCCAATATGGAAAAGACACAGTATGATTTTTACTACCTCCCTCACTAAAGCTAATTATGCACTTAAACCCCTTTATTTTGATAGTGGTTTGTGCAGAGTGAACTCCTTAAAACTAATGGTAAGAGTTTTCTTTCTCTTATACTGCAGTATTGCTGTAATAATTCTGACTTCTAAATATGTGCAACATAATTTCTTAATTATCATTGCTCTATTATTAAGCCAAACAGTTCTTCCTTTTTTCCTACAGCTCACAGTCATCTTGCACAAAGACACACATGTATTTCTTGGATTGCAAGGAACTTTGTTCTCCCTTCAGATGTAAATAATAGGAGGGAGAAAAAATCAGTCTTGACTAAGTCTGACTCCACTGAAAAACAATTTTGAATAAACAATGAAGAAGTGGAAAGCTGTACTCCTTACCTTGTCTGGGATGTACAGTGCACCTTGAAAGCCTCTTAAATGACAGAGAAGAATTAGAAATAGTTGAAAGTTTGTACTCATCCAACCAGAGGGCTCAGGAAATGACTGTGTATTTTGCAACGATTAGCTCCTCCCTCACTTCTAAGTCTTCGCTTTTTCAAGTACAGCAAAAAAAATCCGTCTAATGCCATGCCCTACACATGATTTCTGTTTCACACTAAGAATATGCCAGTGGCCAGAGGAGATGACCCTGATCACCTCCATGGAAGAGAAAAATTGCAGTGTCTTCTGTGTAACTGTGACCAAGTACATTTTACTGTTGAGTGATGCTTATGTAATGAAGTGTAGAAATGATTAACGGGTTTCGCTTCTAACTCTCATTTATAGAAGAGGCTTAGACCAATATTGTCAACATGATTTCAGAGTTGTGGTGCCCAATAGAGTAAGGTAAAAAGAACAAGGCTATTTAAAGGAGTGGCATCCCTTGCAATCTGGACAGGCATTTGATATATGGTATATGATACTTTTATACACAGTGGGTCTCTAGTCAGGAGCCCTGGAGCATCAGGGTTAGGTCCTCTGTGCATAAAACCCCTTTTGTGCCTAAAAATCTGTTTCTCTTGCCTGAATGTACCTGTTCAACTAAAAGGCACTTATGACACTGATCATTATGTAAAACTGTTCACCTGAAAGCTATTAAAGGCCAGTTCCCCACAAGACCACAGGCAGGAGCATAGGCTGCCTTTGGGGAGTGGGCACCAGCACACTGAACCCAAGGTGGCACCAGGGCCTCTGAGCCTATGAGAGACCTCATATTTGGGTTTTCTGAGACAGCAATGGGGCTGTCTCACCTAGCTCTGGGCATTTGCACTGCAGATGTCTACACCAGAGCTACCCATTCGAGGCACTTTTGAATGCAGGTGAGGGAGAGAAACTGACCTGTGCAAGCTTCTTTATCTCTAACATCCAAGTGTTCCTTTTGCTATATAGATATATGCTTCTGTAATTTTTTTATGCAATCAAGACTCTATAAAAACTACAAACAAAATCCTTATTCTCTTGAAGTCGTTTTTTCTAGTAATCAATTCCAGTAATAATGACTCCAGAGGCATGCTCCTGTGAGACACTGATGAGAGTGGTCTGCACCTGAACTTCTACCTTTCACAGTCTACCACAATAATAATGAGGATACTCAAGATCCTTGGTTTAAGCAGGTGCTTAGTTGCTTTTTTGGAATGGAGGCCAAAACATTGGGATGATTCCTCAAACTACAGCTATTTATGATATAGCTTCATATGCAGAAACATCAGGGCATTTTATAATAAGCATGGTTGCAGGACAGAGACTCAAGTTCTTGCATTGAAACCTCTCACTTCCACATAGAAAATTGAACCAACTGTCAGACTTCTTACCATGAGCTCACAGGTAAACAGGAAGGAGTTTCAGTCTCAAAGAGTGCAAAATATATTGAATCAGACCTCCTAAAAAACTAATGGGATTTGGTTCGCTCCCTAATTTGTTCTTTTTTTTTAACAATATTCTTTCAGTTTAAATATGG